GGGGAGGGGGGTTCAAGGAGAGGCCGTGCCAGCAGTGCCATGCCACGTCCTCCACCACCCCCGTGTGCGCCTGGGTTGGTTGATTCAGGGTTGTGTGTGTAAAAGGGGGAGGTGAGGGGAGGAGAGGGCGTGGGGGTTGAGCAAGGATAGGGCGCGAGGGCAGTGCCATGCCACGTCCACCACCCCCGTGTGCGCCTGGGTTGGGGTTGGGGGAGAGGCGGGGGGGAAGGCAGAGGTGCGCACGGAGAGAGTGTGGGGGGTACGGGGCGGGGGCAGGCAAGAAGGCCTGAGAGCGTCTGTGGTTGCTTTGGAACTCACCCCCTCCTACTCAACCCGCCCCTCCCCTCCCCCCTCCTCCCTCCTCCCACCCACCCCACTCACCCGAAAGACATGCTTTGCCTCCACCACTTTATTCGCCTTGGTAGCAGCCCCGATGTCCCACACGCAGATCTGCATGTCGTCTGACCCGCTCAGCAGGTGCCCGGCGCGGAAGGGGCTCCAAGACAGCCCGTACCCCTCCGTCTTGTGGCCCCTTAGGCGCAGGTCGGGGTTGCATGTGCCTTCTTGAGGAGGCTTGGATGGGTGCCTGCTGTAGTCGAACACGAACACCTGTGGGGCAGGGGCAGGGGAGGCGGAGGGAGGGAAGGCAGTACCCCTCCGTCTTGAGGGGGCTTGGATGGGTGCCTGGTGTAGTCGAACACGAATACCTGTGGGTTGGGGGGGGATGGGCCAGGGGATGAGTCGGGCAGGGGAAGCGGAGGAGGAAATCTGGGCTTATAATGAGCCCCTGTGGCGCGGAAGGGGCTCCAGGACAGCCCGTACCCCTCCGTCTTGTGGCCCCTCAGGCGCAGGTAGGGGTTACATGTTCCCTCCTGAGGGGGTTTTGATGGGTGCCGGCTGTAATTGAACACGAACACCTGTGGGCCAGGGGCAGGGGAAGCGAGGCGGAGCACGGGAGGAGAGGGTGGGTGGGTGGGCGGGGAAGGGTTGCACGTGCCCTCTTGAGGGGTTTTGAGGGGTGCCTACCGTAGTCGAACACGAATACCTGTGGGCCGGGGGCAGGGGACGCGGAGGGAGGGAAGGCAGCAGAGGGTGGATAAGAGAGCGCGGAAGGGGTTCCAGGACAGCCCGCACCCCTCCGTCGTGTGGCCTCTCAGGCGCAGGTCGGGGTTGCATGTGCCTTCTTGAGGGGGTTTTGAGGGGTGCCTGCTGTAGTCAAACATGAACACCTGCGGAGGTGGGAAGGGGAGGCGGAGGGAGGGGAAGACAGCCCGTACCCCTCTGTTGTGAGGGGTGCCTGCTGTAGTCAAACATGAATACCTGTGGAGGCGGGGAGGGGAGGGAAGGATGGATCGGGCGCAGGGAAGGGGGAACAGGGATAACGGAATGGGAAAGAGCACCTGTGGCAGGGGGGGAATGGGCGGCACAGAGGAATGGGCGGCGCAGGAAAGGCAGGGAAGGAAACAGCAGGTGGGCGCGGAATGGGGTCGAGAACAGCCCGTACCCCTCCTGGGGAGGCCGTAAAGGGAGCACAATGGGCCTCAAACATCGACTCATCCCATGCATGCAGTTTTGAGGGGCGTCCAAAGCTCGTCCATCGCACCTCAGCAGAGACGGTCTTAGTGGCGATGAGGAAGGGATTCTGCGGCATGTAGCTCTCTCGAGAAAGGCCCTTCTTGCACAACTGTACCCGTTTTAAGGATGCTCAAAACAAGCAAAGGGGGCGCACCTCAGCAGAGACGGTCTTGGTGGCGATGAGGAAGGGGTTCTGTGGCATGTAGCGTGCTCTGTTCACCTCGCCCTCGTGGTTGATCTGCTGCACCACTTGCACCTGGTGAGAGAGTGAGTGAGTATGTGTGAGGGAATGATGGGAGGGGGAGAGGAGGGGGGGGGAGTGAATGGTTTAGGGGGAGGTTCACCTCCCCCTCGTGGTTGATTTGTTGCACCACTTGCACCTGCGGTGGTGTGCGTGTGAAAGTGAACGTGTGTGAGGGAATGAAGGGAGGAGGAGAGGGGAGCAGGCGAACTATCAGGGTTTAGGGTCACAACAAACGGCCACCCGGCAAGGATGCAAACGAGCCCCTCACCTTATTCAAAGTGGCTAGATGCGCCCGGATGCGCATCCGTCGCTGAATCTTCCATCTTAGCACCCCCCCCTCTCCCCACTTTCGGCCCTCGCCCCTCGCATTTTGGCACACCCCCTCCCCCTTCCCGCTTCGACCCCTCCCCCTTCCCGCTTCGACCCCTCCCCCCAACCCACCCCACCTTAGCGCACCCTTTCCCCTTCCCCCTTCCCATCCAAGCACACACTTCCTCCCCCCATTCCCCTCCCCCTCCCCTTCACCTTGGCGCACCCCCCACCCACTCTCCTACCTTGGCGCACCCCCCACCCACTCTCCTACCTTGGCGCACCCTCCCCCCCCCCACCCCCACCTTGGCGCACCCGGCGCCGAACCCGCCAACGTCGCTCCGCTGCTCGTCATACTGCCGCGAGTCCGTCTCCGAGTCATCCAGAGGCAGTTGCACGTCCACGAGCATCAGGTAGTTCTGCTCGTTGCAACTGCACGTCCGCCCCCCCCACTTTGTCCCCCTTTCCCTACCCTCCTCCCTCCCTACCTTGGCGCACCCGGCCCCAAATCCCCCCACGTCGCTGCGCTGCTCATCATACTGCCGGGCGTCCGTCTCCGTGTCGTCCAGAGGCAGTTGCACGTCTGCACCCCCCCCCCCCCCCCCTCTTCCCCCCCCCCCCACATCCCCCTTCCCCCCTTTCTTACCTTGGCGCACCCGGCGCCAAACCCGCCCACGTCACTCCGCTGCTCGTCGTACTGCCGCGCATCTGTCTCGGTGTCATCCAGAGGCAGTTGCACGTCCACGAGCATGAGGTAGTTCTGCTCGTTGTCCGACGTGTGCGTTCCCAGCACCATGCGCTGCACCGAGTAATCCTTTCCTGCTGGTTCCTGCCGCTCTTTTAAGAGGGAGCGAGGGGAATGGGGTAGTACGGAAACGCGGGAAGAGATGGTTTCAAGCCATGTCATATCCCGTAGTTGCAGCGCGTTGCTGAGCGATCGGAAGGGGGCGGTGAGGAATGGCGGAGAGGGGAGCCCGCGGGAGAACGGAGGCCGAACAAGACCGGACGTCAACGCACGTGGTATCATCTGGGTGACACACGTGGCATCCAGTGCACAATGAGAGACGATCAATCGAGCGCGAATGGAGGGAGAACACGTGCCATTATCTGGCCGAGACACCATCACACGTGGCATCGCACCTGGCATCCATTGCACGGTGAGCGACGGCCATTCGAGCGCGTGCGTGATGACGAGGTCGTAGAGGAACGGCGTGTTCTTCTTCCAGATCTTATACTCCTCGTTTATCACCCGCTCCTCCCCCTCGTCCGGATACTCCTCCTCCTCCCGCGCCATTCCGCCCGCTGTCAGGCCCTAAAAGTGTCTCTTAGTTAAAAGTTTGCCTTTTCCCTAAAAAGGACTCTGTGCACGGGACTTTTCAAAAAGAGTTGTCTTTTCTAGGACTCGAAGATCCTGCTTCGATTCCGATTGATGGGATGAATGCCGCTTAAGGCGATCGTGAGAGTGGGAAAAGGGTTGTCGGAGAAAGGACTTGGCTGAATCAACAGAGAACTCTGTATGTCGATCGGAATAACACGCTCTGATAAGTCGTGGGTAGAAGCAATTAAGCGGGTCTGAATGGCGAGTCAACAGCGAGGCCAGGCAGCTTCCAGAAGGCAAGCCTTTGGAAATTACGATACGAGTGTGGAAAGGCGAGAGTGTGGAAAGCCGACGAGTTGGAATAGAAGGAACGAGGAGGCAAGGATGACTGAACTGAAGTGATTCGAGGAAGTGAAGGCTCGACGTCGCCTTCGGTTTGTAATTGCAAGGCAGAACTAGCGTCAGTGCAAGGCTGGGATTCAAAGGTTGCCGCGCAAATTCGTACGTTTGAATTGGCCATTTGATTCAAACAATGGGTAGATTGTTTTGTTCCTACAGATGAACGTTGGCCCATTAGCTCAGTTGGTTAGAGCGTCGTGCTAATAACGCGAAGGTCACAGGTTCGAAACCTGTATGGGCCACCAAAGAGTCGTGTTTTTGAAGGATCCGTATTCCTCCGATGGACGGATCATCTCGTCTTGAGCCAGCTGAGTTGGGAAAACGTCCCAAAACTGCAACTGTCTAACATTCCTAAGGTTTCCGAAACCCCGAAAATACACGTCAGTCCCTCACTTTCAGCAGATAATTCGTTCCCTCCGTACACGTCCTACTTTTTGTCTCTCCTTGCTCAACTGCTTCCTACCAGTAGTGTGTTCCCGTGCAGCAGCAGTTGCACTGCACTACTCTCTATTCGAGCAACTGTCAACCTAGATTTTACCTTATCTCACATTTCCGGCGCATTATTCTCAACAACCGTTTCTTTACTACGCCGCAACTAACTACCTCATTCACCTATTTTGTTGACCAACGCCTTTTCTTTCCATTCCGTGCGCTTACGCATCGTGTGCGTGCCTGACCATTGTTCTCTAACCTGAACATTGGTAGGCGGTAGAGAAAAGCAAACGGTTCAGAGCAGACCGCGCATTTAGGCTTGAAGGGGGTATAAAGAAGGCCACGTATATTTTTTAAGAAATGTCGGCGACGGGAACGCCGCCGCGGCGCATCGTGGTTGCGATCGACGACTCGACGGGCAGCACCGAGGCGCTCCAATGGGCGCTCGATAACATGCAGCTGCAACCCGGTGGGTGTCACGCGGGTGAATGCGAATGGGTGTTAAGAAATTGCGGCTAAGCTGCGTGGGTATCATTCTGCTCCCTTTGCGCTCCAATGGGCGCTCGATAACATGCAGCTGCAGCCAAGTGAGTGTGAAGACAATGGGGGCTAGCGCGGTGGGTGCCACGCGGGTGGGTATCAGGGTAGTTTCAAGGCATCTCACCCCTCGGTTATTCTGTTGGGTGCCAAGAGAATGAATGTCAGGCGAATGGGTGTCGGCGAATGGGAGTCGGGCAAATGCGGGTCAGGGAAATGGGGTTCCAACGGGTGGGTGTCAGGTGCTATCATTCGTTCTCTCAGCGTTTCAACGGTCCCTCTGTTTCGTCCCTATGAGAATTCTCAAAAGTGACTCCACCGTCCGAACAACCTCCTCCTTTTGCTCCTCCCCTCCACCCATCCTTCTGTTTCCACTTGCCCTCATGTCTGTCCACTCCTCCTCGCTGCATCCATGCCCGCCCTCGCGACACCATCATTCTCGTCAACACTCGGTTCTGCTCTGCTTCCGCAGTCCCTTCCCTTGCAGCTGAAAACTAATTCCCTTCTCTGCTGCCGCCCGACATCCCCCTCTGCAGGTCGTGACACCATCATTCTCGTCAACACTCAGTCCTACTCCTCCACTTCCGCACTCCCTTCCCGCAGCTCAACAGTTATTTCCACTCTCTGCTGCTCCCGCCCTCCCTCCCATCCCTGCAGGTCGCGACACCATCATTCTCGTCAACACTCAATCCTACTCCGCCGCCCCTACTTCCCGGCCAGGTAAGACAATAGTTGCCGACCAGGTAAGTCAACACTTTCTGACGACAACAGTGCTTGAAGTCCAGGTAATTCGATACTTCTCCTCTGAATCGTATCCAAATGGGGAATCCCTAACCCTTCCTTGGATTAGTTACTGTCTTGCCACTTCCCCCTTAGTCTAGCCACTCCGGCCTTCCCAACGTCTCTCCCTGCCCGCCAGCTTAACCCCTCTTCCCCCCCTCCCCACGTGCTGCCCTGTCCCTCCATTCCTGCCTGCGCCAATCACAGGCTTCCACGTGTCACAGGGGGAGATCCAGGCGGACACGCAGAGGAAGAAGGACGCCGGGTACAAGCTGCTGGAGAAATACAAGGCGCAGTGCGAGGGACGCCAGGTGAGGAGAGAGGGGCGGCAGGTGAGGGGGGGGGGGTTGGAAGGAGTATAAGGTACAGTGCGAGTGGCGCAAGGTAAGGAAAGGCTGTGCCATGAGTAAGGGCGTGACGCCGGGTACAAGCTGCTGGAGAAGTACAAGGCGCTGTGCGAGGCGTGGCAGGTGAGGAGAGAGGGGCGGCAGGTGAGGAGAGAGGGAGGGGCGGCAGGTGAGGAGAGAGGGGCGGCAGGTGAGGGAAAGTCAACTGGGGGAGAATGGTGAGCTGCTGCTGTGGATGATGGGCGGTAGGTGTGGCCTTGTACTCACGAGCTGCTGAAAGTACAAGGCGAGGCGCAGTGCAAGGGGCGGGACGTGAGAAGAGAGGAGCGCAAAGTGAGGAAAAGTTTACTGGGAGCGAATAGTAGTTGTTGCTGTGAATGATGACCGCAAGGATGCATGCTTAGCTCTTCTGCTCCCTCTTTTCTCAATGCATTCTCCCCCAACCCCTGCCTCCTCTTTGTGCTGACGTGGCAGCTGCTGTGTGAGACACGTGTGATGATCGGCGATGCCAGGCTGTCGATATCCGAGGCAGCGGAGCAGGCCAAGGCAGATGCGGTGGTGGTGGGCAGCCGGGGACACGGCGCTCTCAAGAGGTGAGCACAGGGGGGCAAGACAGGTGTGCTAGTGCTTGACAGGCAGCGGAGCAGGCCAAGGCAGATGCCGTGGTGGTGGGGAGTCGTGGGCACGGCGCGCTCAAGAGGTGAGCAGCACTGGGGCAGGTCAGTTATGCCCAAGGTGTGAGTGCTTTACAGGCAGCAGAGCGGAGCGGAGCAGGCCAAGGCAGATGCCGTGGTGGTGGGGAGTCGTGGGCACGGCGCGCTCAAGAGGTGAGCAGCACTGGGGCAGGTCAGTTATGCCCAAGGTGTGAGTGCTTTACAGGCAGCAGAGCGGAGCGGAGCAGGCCAAGGCAGATGCCGTGGTGGTGGGGAGTCGTGGGCACGGCGCGCTCAAGAGGTGAGCCCTGGGGGACCAGGTATGCTTATGCTGTGCTTTACAGGCAGCAGCAGAGCAGGCCAAGGCGGACGCCGTGGTGGTGGGCAGCCGGGGACATGGCGCGCTCAAGAGGTGCGTGAGTGAACACGGTGTTCAAGGTGTGTAAGTGGTGGAGGAGGGTAGGTGCGCTCAATGTGTGCTTCACAGGCAGCAGAGCAGGCCAAGGCAGATGCCGTGGTGGTGGGCAGCCGGGGACACGGTGTTCTCAAGAGGTGCGCACAAGGGGGGGAACCATGTGTGCTCAGTGTGTAATTCACTGCTCAGTAAGCAGCATGGGCCAAGGCAGATGCCGTGGTGGTGGGCAGCCGGGGACACGGGGCGCTTAAGAGGTGCGCACAGGGGGGACAGGTGTGCTAATGGTGTGTGTGCTTCACGGGCAGCAGAGCAGGCCAAGGCGGGCGGGCACAGTGGTGGTGGGGAGCCGAGGACATGGATGGGGCGCTCAAGACGTGACTTCAACCAGTGTCTGACACTGCCGTGCTCATGAACTGACTCAGTCCCTTCCAGGCTGATTCGTGACTCAGAAATCGAACACTGCCCCTTGATGTCTGCTGCTCTACCCAGTAACCCCCTCTCCCCTCCCCTTCCCCCGAAACTCAAACCACTTCCCATCCCTCCCATACCTGCAGGCTGGTGCTGGGCAGTGTGAGTGAGTACTGCGCCCACCATTGCCCCATGCCAGTGATCATAGTGCGACCCAACAAGATAGGCCAGCCCGACCCTGCCGTGCCAATGGACTGACAGCCTCTTATCAACTGATGCTATCGACCCAAATACTCACAGATGGGTGGTTTTTCTCATAAACTCGCAAGATACTGATTCTTTCTCTTTCTAGGATGGACTTACGGGCTCTTATCAACTGGTGACTGTGTGAGTAGCTGTGTTTGCTGAGAATTGGCTGAACCATGAGTTCTTGTTTTGCTGTCAACCATAACAGTTCTACAAAAACACCACCAACCAACTGTCTAATGGGCCTAGAAACGACATGGAAGTTTCCGTCTAGAATGTCACCTGCAACATGGACCAGAATTGCAGCACTGTAGTGCAGGTACCGGTCCGGTCCGGTCCCGTCCAGCCACCCCTCTGCCGCTTCATCAATACATGAATCCTTACACATGCGCCTCCTCTCTGTAATATATTTTATAGTCAACTAAAAGAATCACTGCAGGTGAGATCCAGCTCTCCCCAAGCCACTGTGACAGCTGCGTCATTCCCTCCCCTGCGTCAATCCCTCCCCTGCGTCAATCCCTCCCCTGCGTCATTCCCTCCCCTGCGTCATTCCCTCCCCTGCGTCATTCCCTCCCCTGCGTCAATCCCTGCGTGTGCGCCGCCTCACCTTGGTCTCACCCCCCTCCTTCGCCTCCTCCTCCGCGCCCGCAGCCTGGGCTTCCGAAGCTGCAGGAACGGGTTCCGAAGCTGCAGGCTCGGCGGGCTCCTCTGCTTCAGCAGGCTCGGTGGTGCCCTCGTTAGGCTCATCTGCTGCAGCAGCCTCAGCCTTCTCCTTCACATCATCCTTAGGCTCCTCCTTAGCCTCCTCTGGAGCATCATCGGGGGCGGAGATATCCTCCTTCTTGGCCCTCTCTAGAGACACCTGCTCGGGACGACAAGCACAGCAGGACACATGGAGATATTGGTTTGGAGGCGTCCCAGAACCAACTCATGCGATCACCACCACACATGTGCCGATTGGCACAGGGAAGTTCAGAGCCAATTTGAAGCACCTAAACAATCGAGTTTTTGAGTCGTCTCAAAACTCGACTCATGCGATCACCACCACACATGTGCCCATTGGCACATGCAAGTTCTGAGCCAATTTAAGGAGGCTCAAGAATAGCTCACCTCAACCTGGTTCAAGACCTGCATTACCTCAACAGACCCCAACTCCTCAGTCTGGCCTCACTCCTCCCATACCTCCAACCCCTAATTCCCACCTTACCGCCTTCCACATCCCAAAGCCATGATTTCACCTGGTCTGCCTGCTCCTTTTCGAGTCGACTAAATAATCATCTCGCATGCAACCCCAACCCCTCAGTCTGACCGCACATCCTCCCATACCCCCACAACCCCCAATTTCGACCAAACCTGGTCCCCAAGTCCTGAGCTTACCTGGGCTGCGGGCCGCTTGGGCGAAGAGAGCAGCACGGAGATGAGCAGCAGGAAGGGCACGAGGGGGATGAGGATGATGATGCCCACTGCTGCGTATGGGTACTTGGCCGCCTCTGCCAGGATGGCCTGGGGGAGCAAGGAGACAAGAGGGGGGAAAGTGGGAAGAAAAAGGAGGTGCGTTTTAGTATGAGGAAGAGGATGAGGATGAGGATGAGGATGAGGATGAGGATGAGAATGAGAATGAGAATGACCACGGCGGCGTGCAGGACTCAGGATGATTGCATTTGGGAACAGGAACCAACAGAAATGAGACAGCGAGGAGAGAGGGGGGGGTGACGGAATGAGCGAGAAGGAGGGTGAATAAGTGGGGGAGAGGGAGGGTGAAGGGGCAGGAGCGAGGGAGGGTGATGGGGGGGAGAGGGGGAGGGCGAAGGGTGGGAGAGGGGGAGGGTGAAGGGTGAGAGAGAGGGAGAGTGAACGACGAGAGAGAGAGAAAGAGAGGGGTTGAAAGAGGTGGTGATGGAGCAGGGCGGGAGGGAGTGGCGAGCAGCGCACCTTGAGCTGGGGGCGAACGGGCTTGAGAGGAGGCGCGTCTGCAATCTTGTGGAGCGTCTCAAACAGCTTGCCCTGTTGTGAGGAAGACAGAGGGGATTGCAGTGGGGTTGAGAGGGTTGCAGCGGAGGTGGGGACGTTGCAGTGCGGTTCAGAGGTATGCAGTGGTGATGAGGGGGATTTGAGGCACCTCCTCGTGGAGAATCACAAACAACTTGCTCTGCCATTGACCACGAGACCCTGGTTGGTCTCACTCACACCCTGCCACTCACACCCCGCCACTCACACCCCTCCACTCACACCCCGCCACTCACATCCCGCCACTCACACCCCGCCACTCACACCCCGCCACTCACATCCCGCCACTCACACCCCGCCAGCCTCACAAAACATACCCGCCTCCCACCCGCCCTTCCCATCCCTCAGCTGGTCTCAACCCACGCACTCACTTTCTTGAGATTCGCGTCCTCCTCCTCGCGCTTTGCCTGCTCTTCCCATACAATATCACCCATAGCACATCTACCCCCCAGCCAACTACACCCAACTCCAACTCACCTCCCATCCGCCCTTGCCAGCAGACTCCTTCTTGAGCTTTGCATCCTCCTCCTCGCGCTTCGCCTGCTCCGCAGTACCCACCCTAGCACAGCTACCACCCAGCCGACTTCACAGCTCACACCACGTCCCACTCCCCAACTCACCTCCCATCCGCCCTTGCCAGCAGACTCCTTCTTGAGCTTCGCGTCCTCCTCCTCGCGCTTAGCCTGCTCCGCCGCCTTCTCCTTGGCGAACTTGGTCGCCCACCGCTCCCGCCGGTACTTCTCCGCTACAGCGGGGTCGCTTGTAACGAGGATGTTGTCAAACAGAATGCCGTCCTGGTGGGGTTGGATGGGGGGAGGGATGGGTTGGCATGGGTGGGGTTGCATAAACGTGGATGGGTGGATCGGCAGGTGGGTGGGCAGATGGGTGGGGATGGTTCAATGGGTGGATATGGATGGGTGGGTGAATGGGTGGGGTTAGGTGGATGGGCGGATGGGTGGGTGGGCGGGAGGGTGAGAGGATGGCGGGAGAGAACGGTCGAGGGGCTGCAGAGCACAGTAAAGGAGCGGGACAGGACGTTCGGGGGGATCGAGGGGCTGCAACTGCTCCTGCTCCTCCACCGTGTGCTGCAGCCCTTCGAGCCCCTCGGCCGTCCTGTCCCGCTCCTCCACCGTGCGCTGCAGCCCCTCGACCGTCCTCAGTGGATGGGTGGGTGGGTGGGTGGATAGGTGGATGTGGATGGTTGGATGGGCGGGTTGGGGGATGAGTTGGACCCAAGTGCAAACGCGTCTCTTGTCAAACTAGAAAGCGATCTCCCCGTGATGGACAGAGGAGGAAAGGAGATGGGGGGAGCATTCTCCAGATGGGAAACTGCTATGTTTGCACCCTTTTGAGTCGACTCAAAAGTCACCTCATGGACAGGGGAGGAAAGGAGGTGGGGGGAGGATTCTCCAGAGAGACAACTGCTATGTTTGCACCCTTCCCAGCAACACTCTCGTCTTGTGCAAATGACATGACCTCATTCTTTCACGTCCTTTTGCTTGCAGCCAATGCACTTGTGTGCATTGCCCTTTCTACACTACGCCCTGTTTCTCATGCCCCGCTCCCAGCTGCTCGTCCACCAACCACCTCTCGTCCTACCCAGAAACCCCAAACCCTGAGCCCCTCTCACACACCTATCTCCATCCACCCCCAGCACATCCCCGCGCCCAGGCACTCACCGACATGGTCCAGATCTCAATTCCCACAGCAGCGACGCTCTCCAGGTCCGGCCGATCCAGGTGGAAGTAGTCCGGGTTGGGGATATCCCGAGCCTTCCACACGCCCTTGTACGCGGGGTTGTCAATCAGCGGAGCCGTCCACTTGCCCTTGTACGCGGGGTTGCGCTTCATCGGCCGCTTCCACTCGCCGCACCCGGGGGCCTCCTCGCACTTGGGGTTCGGGGTTTTGGGCGGCTCCCACTCGCCGTCCTCCTCCTCGTCCCAGTCCTCCGGCTTCTTGGCCTCGGGATCGTCAACCTGTTCATAAGGGGAGGAGGATTGTGAAAGAAATCATAGGGGCAATCGCATTCAATATTGGGCAAATCGATTTAAAAAAAAGGCCATTCCCAATCGCCGTCCTCCTACTCGTCTCAGTCCTCCGGCTTCTTGGCTTCAAGATCGTCTTTTCTTTCCCTCATGTGAGAAGGGCTATACGGAAGGTCGTGGAGGCGAAGCTATGATACTCAACATCGCTCGCCTGTCTAGGAGGACAGTCTGGGAGGCGATCGCCGTCAAGCCGCCCATAGCGCTCGTCACACGGCTCCTACGATCCACCATTCCTCCACAAGCCCTCGGGCTCGTCCTTATTGCCCCCAGGCTTGTCAAACGCTTTCTGGAATCCAGCATACTGCCACAAACTCCTCCAGGCTCCAGCTCATCGTCAAGCCAAACCCAACACTTGCCACGCGGCTCAAGCCCCCACATAAGCCCCCAAGCATCCCCCCAATCCCCACTCAGGCTCGTCTTCCAGCCACCTCTCGGGCTTGTCACACGGCTCTTAGGACCTAGCATTCCGCGAGGCCAGCCAGAATCCCCAGTCATCCCCCCACGCACCTCCTCGGGTTCGTCGTCCAGCCATCCCTCGGGCTTGGCGGCGTCCTCGTCGGGGATCTCGCGGGCCGCGTCCTCGTCCCAGTCCTCCGGCTTGGTCGCCTCGGGGTCCTTGATCTTGGCCCGCTCGTCCCTGCGCACATACCACCACACGTCGGAGGAATGGCGCGCGCGCATCGTTCAGTGGTTGCAAGTGGGAATTTGCTTCGTTATGTGGAATTCGCGTACGATTCCACAGAGATTTCGCAAGCGTCGCAGGCATTGCGCGCGCGCGAGCCGTATAGTCGCTGCAAGTGGAAATTCGTTTTTTCATGTGGAAACCGGAAGGATTCGCAGACACTTTGCACGCTTGCGAGCGCATTCGAGCAGCATAAAACGTTTGGTCGACACAGACAACGAGGATTCTTAGAATTCATGGAGAAAACAAAGACTAGTTTTAAGGCGCCTCAAAACTAG